TTAACAACCTTTGTTTCTCTTGCCTATAAACAAAGATTCTGGTCCTGTGCCCTCAACTGGCCTACAAATGACATAAAAGGCCTCACTGTTATTAGTGGTTCTTCTGAATCAGTGCATTTTGCTTAGAGGAACCACTAAGTCATTCAACAAATAAATATTGTTTTACTATTTGGTAGGTAAAATAATTGTAGGTTCATGTATGTACTATACAACAGCCTCTTACATCCATCAAGTAGAAAGGTGTTTTCAGGATATGTATAACTTGAATTTACAGAACAATAATAATACCAATATCTCTCAAATTTGAACACTATCGCGCACGCTTTTGTGTCTGATATTTTTCTCTTGTGTCCGAGCAGCGGACCCAGCTCGCGTCCATTATTAAATTACTAGTATTTGTTAATAATCTAAATTTTATCAGATCAATCTGTGACTGGTTTCAAAGTGAGCGCCTTTAACTTGCGCACAATTTGATACCATAATGACGACGTAGCCTGACAACTGAGGTAAGAACACTTAAGATTATAAATACTTTTGTGGTGATGAGCATCCAAAAATTAAAATGTGTTAAAATTCCATTTATTGTTCTATTATTATGGGGACTAGTTTTAAAATGCACACCTTTATATTGCAAACAATTTGATACCAAAACAAAAGACGAAAAATGAAAATTGATGTTATCAAACTGAAACATGTACAAATTAGCTTGCGGGTGTGCCAATTTGTGTTCATTCATGGGAAATGGTTGGCTGACTTTAGGCTTTGCTGTGGGGGAGTCATGCCGGACTTTTGGACCTTATATGCATACATCCCTGTAGGGAATTCTACTGCGAACACGATACCAAAACAAACGACGTAGCACGAGAATTAAGGAGAAAACTGAAATGAGTACACACATTTCAGTGTCGCCGCCTGCTCGCCCGAAACGGCTGCAGCATTACGGGAAAGTTTGCGGCGCTCATGCGCCAAGTACGAAATTGTTAAATATTTACAGAGTATGCAAAATGAAAGGAAAACACAAAAATAAGTGAATATTTATCGCTTCACTAGGTGGAAGCGCTCTGCAAGGCTGTGTTTCACACTTGTCAATGCCTGGTGCTCCACTTTTGCTGACGCTTCCCATTTTATCCTCTCATGTTTCACAGGCTATTTCATCATTTGCTTTTGTATTTACATTATTTATTTATCTATATTTGCATCATTCATATAAAACCCAAACAATAATTGTTTAAATCATCATATGATGATGACAACATTTCCTTAGTAACTAACATTCATGATGAAAACCACATTTGTACCATGAAACAGTAGCAGAATTTTTTCATGGGTCAAGGTAAACTCCATTACATTCACATAGACCTATTATATCCATATTTGCATCATACATGTAAAATCCGGACAATAACTGCTTAAGTCGTCTTTTGATTATAACCACAGTCCCCTAAGGATCGTCAATAGAGGATAATCGCAGCCTAATGGTAAACAGAACATCCCGCTGTCTGAAACATGTCGGTTATTCCATACATTAAATTTTCAAGTAGCACATCAGTACTTTTCAAGTGCTAGTTTTAAAAGTAACTAAAGTCAGACATTAAAAGATCTCTTTTTTTTTTTTTTTTTTGTATGAAATATTTGTTGAGAAATTTGACTGTTGCAGGAAACGGACAATTAAATTTTTTAGGCGTACTGCTAATACTGTACAAGCAAAAAAGGTAAATATCAAATTTTAATGCTCAGTGGTTTCCAACACAAGCCAATGATCGCCAGAGTGCCCAATGCTGGGCCACAGCCACAGAGGAAGCCACAAAATAGTGTCACCAAATAATGTGAAAATAACCACCAAAACTACAACAGCCACACTATGCTACCTTGTAGATGCTCATAATGTTGAGTGGTTCCCACAACTCAAGCCACTGCACATTTGACCAGGCAATGCTGCTGGTCTGCTACATGAATTATGGACATGTGGGTTACTGCAACATTACACAATAGTTTTGAAAGGAGGAATAATATGGATCATTATCATAATTCATACATGCCTATTCCAACGCATCCTCTAAAAGTGTTAATAGCAAAAGTACAAAAAGGGACTGCTGCAGCCAATAAATGTTGACATTTTATATTATTACTTTTGTAGAGAGCATGAAAAAAAAACTGAGCTACAACCTAAACTTTAACATTCCTAGGCTTAGTATAGCACATATATGTACTACACAAACGTTCTGTGTAGTGTATATTAGGCTTAGGATTGCTTGGACAGGTTAGGTAGGATTAGATTTTCAGTTACATTTCCAATTTTTAGTAAATATGCATTTGGGCAAATTCAATAATGCAAATGTAAACGTTTTGGATTCAACAGTTCATTACAAATAAATGGTGTAAGTACTGCCATTTTCAGAGAACAGGCTGGCTATTTTTTTTTTTTTTAATTTAAAATACTGAGTATGAGTGATACAACTACCTTGCCGATCACTGGAGCTGCAATGGTTAGTAACCTGGTGAATGCTGTAATGTCTGCTATGTACATGATGTATTTTGGTCAATATACTGTACTGATTAAATATTGCATCAAAAGATCAGCTTGTGGTGTCAGTATGTAATGTTTTACTTTCAATTTATTATTTTATATATATATTTTTTTTTATAAACAAGAAGATACACTGGGTTGTGAGAGTACATTACATTGGTGTTTTTACTTTTTTTTTTTTTTTTTAGGATTTGCGCCCAGTAAATCCTCCCCGGCCAGGATACAAACCCATGACAAAGTGCTCGCGGAACGCCAGGCGAGTGTCTTACCACTACACCACGGAGACTGACATTCTCGGCAAAGCCACCAACATGCATAGCATTTCGGGCAGATGGATAGAAATGTGAACTTGAAACAGTCTGGGCCAATAGCTTTGTTTCTTTCTAGCACTTTGAATAATCTTTCTATTTCGACTCATGACACTATGTTGTCAATGGCATTCTTTGAAATTGGCAATATATCTGATTCTCTGAAAACCTCATTTTGCATACACACATTTTGAAACTGTTTATTTGGCATTTCATACAATTTATTACCTGTGAATCAGTTTCATATTTTCAATCTTAGGATTTTATCCTTTACATACAGCTCGCTTTTAACAAATTTATAGAAAAGACATGGTTCTGTTTTACATTCAACTGCTACCCCTTCCCTCAAAGTTTCTTTCTGTCTCGTCTCATTGCTGTGCAATTGTTTGTTACTTGTTGGTATTGCTGGAATGAAGAAGCTAGTGTTTGCGACTATAGTGGAGGTATTACTAGGCCAGAATGTGCTGCCTCAGAAACATGCCCTGCCAAACACTGGCATGTCACGAGGCCTGAGGACAAAGATGACGGTGTGCCCTCCACTTCAAGTGTTTGTGGTGGGCCTACACTACATAGTAAGAACCTCATTTCCTAGCTTACAGAGCAATAGAATAATGATGATGAGGGGGTGGCACACCCCCTATTCCCCATGATATCAGGAGATGCACAGTGCAGGGATTAAAATTCCAGTGGCTTTATGTCTTCCACCCGCCCACCTGCCCCCACCCACCCGTTCACCTGCCTGCCCACCTAACTTCTATCCATCTAGCCCACTTGCCTGCCAGCCAGCCAGCCTGCCCACCCACCCACCTGCCTGCCTACCTACCTAACTCCCACCCCCCATTCCCACCTGCCTGCTAGTCATCCATCAATTCATCCAGTGCTCTTACCAGCTAGCCTGGCAGGTGGGCTGATTCACTTGAGCATGTGAATTGGAGGATAGGAGAACCCAGAGGATTGGGCAATGTATAATTTCATGCAAGAATCAGCATACCAGTTTACGATGTTACTGTTTTTTTTTCATTTCTATTCCAAATGCATTACAGCTCATAATTTAGCATAATTAACCAAAAACACCGAGACAATCAAAGGGATCTTTGTACAAGACACTTGTCCAAGGCAACTGAAGCTCCACCGAGTCCAAAGTAATATTTTTGCTACTCATCACTAAATGTTTTTGGATTATTCTTATTACAAATGGAAAAATATTCAATTTGTACTTTTACACATAAGTAATATACTGCATAAACAATGTAGTTTAAACAAAAATAAAAGTATAATTAAAATTTGTTTTATATTTACCTCAAACTTTTCCAGCATATACTGTACCTTTATTATTTTATATCTTAATTAAAATTCCTCAAATGATGGATAGTCAAGAAGAACCAAATTATGAAGAGTTATCACCCTCAATCCTGAATTATCCCACAGCCACAAAACAATATGTTCAAAAATAGCTCAATAACACAACAGAAACATCAAATTTAAAATGAAAAACAACCATTATATTTTGTTTTAGCTATGCTCAATCACTTTCTCATGGGCCCCAATACTTCCTCCTAATTAAGTGCACATTTATAAGCATCATTAGAAATTTATTCCAAGCAAAATTAAAGTTTAATTTATACACTCTTATTTTCAATGTTTATGGACAATTCATACAAGTCCATGTCCTCATTTTAGCCCTTTTGGACATCCACCAGGACCACCTAATTATACAAAATTCTCATACCATCTTTCTTATGGCCCAGACCAAGAACCCTGTTTTAATACGTAGTGCCAAGACATGTTTAACATGTGAGCAAAAATAAACATTCAAAAAAATTGTCTTCAAAAAAGGCCCGCCAAAATTTTTATGATCTAAACTATTTCCTAAGATCTCAATTTTCTGACATATGTTATTAACTTGATAAAACCAGTATTCAAGAAGATACAAGCCAATATTCATTAAGCACAACTCATCACTACCGTAATAAAAAAATTAATTACGGGAGTGGTGATCTTTCAATCCAAGCCCACTGACTCTCTCACCTAAAGCTTTCTAGAAATTATGTTGGAATCTGATAACATTTAAGGAGATAATATAAAGAGATTTTCAGAATGGTATTTCTGGCATTGTCACTGAGCCAAACACTGACTAATTCAATCATAACATAATAGTCACTTACTTGTGGGAGGAAAAAATGTTGAAGAGAAGGAGTTCTGGGCTGCCCCTGGAGACTTGAGCTGCTGGCGGGATGTATCTTGAATACTGGCTCCTGGTTGTAAAGATTTCAAAAAGCTAGGAGGAAGCGTTGGGGCACCTCGAAATGCTTGGGCCCCGAGTTGTTGTGCGGCGAGACTCATACTGGAACCAAATCCTTGCATTCCTACACCTGCTGGGCCAGGCTGAGATTGACTGCCAAAACCTTGTAAGCCATATGCTGCAGGTGGTGTCTGCAATGGTGGCTGTGCTTGCTGCTGCACTGCTGCTTGCAGTGGTGACCCTGAGGCAGTATAAAATCCTGCTGCCTGTTGGGGACCTCCAGGTCCTGTAGGTGGTGCTGTAGGTGGGGCACCTGGTGCACCAGCACCACTATTAGAGTAAAATGAACTTGGTGGCTGTATTGCCTGAATAACAGAATTCTGTACACCAGGTCGTTGGACCAACTGTGATCCTAGGAGACCCATGGGTTGGCTGGGATCATATATATACAACTGCGAGGGCTGGGGACCACCTTGTAAAGCCGTTCCTAAGCCACTCTGCTGGAATGGTGTACCAGCCTTAGACCCAATGGTGCCAAAATTCTGTTGTGAATTCCCAAATGTTTGTGATGATGGCTTCACTGCAGAAGACATTAGTGAATTTGAAGCAGTAGATATAAGTACGGTATTTTGGTTTTGAGGCTGACTCTGCCCAAAACCTGTAACTCCAGCAGGCTGGAGTCTGTACTGAGATAGATTATTAGTATAAAGATCTGGTGTTGTGAGAGGTGGAGGAGTCTGCAAATACATTGACTGCTGACCAAATGCATTACTTCCTAACCCTTGTCCAATCCCATATGGCGGATACTGTGAAAACTGGGATGCTCCTCTCTGCCCAAGAACAGGAGCCCCATCCAAAAATGGTTGGTATAAACCTGTCTGTGGGTTGGAATTGAACACCATGGGAGGCGATGGGATTGCACCTCCTATTCCACCAAATGCGGCTGTACCACCTAAAGCCTGATACATACTATTTGAAGGACCAGTTGATCCCGAAACCAAGGGAGGAGATAATGAACCACCCGAGATTCCCAAGGACGATCCACCAGGCCCCGGAGACACCGAGCTATTGGCTGTTTGCTGTTGTGGTTTTACCTTACACACATTCCCTGATCGACTAACTTCAGCCTTTGTCAATGAGGCGGCAGCAGATGAGGTGTATACCATGGCTCCTTGCTGAAGAGGTGAGCCACCCTGATACCCTCCTACATCTTGAGAGTGATCTTCACAAGAACCAACAGTAGTGGTGTCTTTTGGTGTAAAGGAAGCTTCAAGTGCTGGAGAGTGGTCAAGTCCTGCAACACTATCTACAGCTGAAAAATTTGCTGTTGAAAATGCCACTGAACTGGTCACATCCTCTGCATGCTCAGGAACTGGTGCCATTGTTTCCCATACCTTTTTTACTGAAGCAATTTTAAGGTTAAGGTCATCTGTTGATGGAGATATTGGACTCTGCATACTACCAGAAGTCATTACCAGGGATCGAGGAAGACTAATTCCCTTGGTACTGACAGAACCTGGAACTTCTGACAACTCGGAGTCAAATGTGAAATCTAATTTCATGTCCGTACCATTTTCTTCTACTTTAGTTGAAAAATTCAGTGGTAATTCAATAGGTTCTGGTTTTTCAAGTTTCTTATCTTTATCATCTTTCATACACAATGTAGTTTCTGGGGAAACACTTTTTCTATCCCTGTTCTCACGCTGTCTCTGAGGCTTAGGGGCTTCACCAAACTTTGCCTTGTATTCTGCACCTACAGTAGCATTCACTGAACCTGCAGCTTTGAAATTAGTATTTTCAAATATGATAGTCTGGGAAGGAACCGATGTTCCATCCAGAGTATTCTTGTCTACTTTTGAAAAACTGGTTGGATCATCACTTGGGCTTGATCGCTGACTACTGCCTCCAGAATTTGGTTGATCACTAATTTCTACGCCACTATCATGGTTATCAAAAGATGCTGGTTTGATTCCAGTTTGATTAGTTCCATCCCCAGATGTTGGAGCCTGAGAAGGAGAATTTGCTCTAAGAGTTGCAGTTAGAGGCTTATCCCATGCATTCTTAGGTGGTGGAGGAATAGCTGTTGTATCTTTCACAGGGAATAATGTGTTACTCGGAGATTCTACAGGACTGCAAGACCCAGCCGATTTCATTGCATTGATTCTATTGTTCTCGCGCTGCTTTGCTAGTCTTGGAGGGAGCTTGCTCTGACGCGATCGCTCAAATCCACCAGTTTTGTTAGTGCGACTTTTCTTTTCTTTATGTTGTTTCTTTGAAGTGGTGGCAGGTGTTGGACCAGCAACACTACTATTACCAACAGTTGTAGGTTCACTGACTGCAGTTGACACTGATGAAGGTTCATGCAACTGGGTCTTCAGCTTTTCCTTCCCAGATTTGCGTCTGGTTACTTCCTGGAAACCATCATTTGAGTCCATATGGTCATCAATGAGCTCAGACACTTGTGGTTGATCATCAACTATCACCACACCTGAAAGAAATATATTCTCATAATTACCACAAAGGTCATGGAATTTTAGCACTGTATATCAGAAATGCTGATTAATTACACAAAACAATTACAATGTTAGGAAAACAAGATAACAGGAGTCCACACTAAACTTTTGAAAATGAGAAAAAACAGTATGTACAATACTTATTGTGGCTCATTGCTTTAGCACAAGCTACTAAAACCAAATACAAAATGACAAAAACTTCTCTATCAGAGGAAACTACAAATATCACACAATTAGTTTTCAAGTCTATGATCATCTAATCCCAGGTGTTAGTAGCATGCTTTTTCTATAAAATAACCAAAACCAAACAAAAAATAAATATTTCAAATTAAATAAACATCTAAAATCAGCTTGGTGAAATAAAAGGCTCCAAAATTTCTTCTTAGCTTATGCTAAAGCAACTGCCTCTTGTGGGCAAAATTTGACCTCCATCAATTCATCAAGAATTGACTGATATGGATTGTTGTGGAAATGGCAACAAGAAACTACTTACTAGCATAATTATTCAAGTCGATGCCCTCCAATGGGTTGGCTTTCTCTTGCTTGGGCTTATTTTTGTTGCTGACTTCAGAGAGAGCCTGGTGTACCATGGTAGGGTCTAACTTTATCTCATGCACTTGACTGACAGTAGTTTCAATTTTTGTGCCCTTTCCACTTGTAGGTCCATTCTTATTTTTCTCATTTTTATGCGGAGCCTTCTTCTCACCAAACCTCTGCTGGCTAGTATTTTGGGGAACACTTTGGCACTCTGCTTTAGATTCCTTGCCAAGTGAGTTACGTCCCTGTGCTAAACCCCCACCTGATGAGGGAGCCCAGCCGCCGCCGCCGCCGCCACCACCACCACCACTCTTCCTATCTGCTTTGCTTCCCTTGCGATGATCTGCTTTAATCAACATGGCTGCAGCCTTCTCCTTATTTTCTTTTCGAGCCTCAGGATCACTGCTTTCAGAAGCAGTTTCCCAGTCTGCTTCTTCAGTAGTCTCTGGAGTGCCTTCCTTCATGCCCGGTTTTGTCGACACTGTAGTTGCCAATGATGTAACCCCTCCACTTCCAGAGCCTGCGAGTGCTGTTGAAACTCCACGTCCTCTCTTATTATGGCTACTGGTTCCTCCTCCACTGCTACCACCACCTCTCTGACGTTCAAATTCTCGACGCTTTTGGAACCTGGGTGGCATCCTGTCAAACCTGCTTTGCTGTTGCTGTTGCTGCTGCTGCTGTTGCTGCTGCTGCTGTTTGCGGGCAGCAGAATCACACGCACCACTTTCAGTATTGGGGACTTTTCCCTCCTCAGTAGTCAGAGATTTGCCACCGATGATATTGCCACAACTTCCACCACCACCACCACTGCCGCCACCACCATGTGCTGGTGCTGACCGCCCCCTGCCCCCTGCATGGCCCTGAAGTGATGAAGCTCCACCACCACCCCTGGAGCTTCCCCGCCTGGCCTCCCCTCGTCCCCGGCCGCCACCTCGACCAAATTGGGAGCGCTCACCATCACCGCACTCCTCCCGGTTGGTGGGTAGAGATGAACCACTGCCGATATTATTTGTTCCTGCAGCACTGTTGCTTCCCCCTGATGCTAATGGTGCACTACTCCAATCTTCACAGCTACTACTCCAATCATCCTAAAAATCAACACTTAAATAAATATATAATAGCCAAGTTAAATATTTCCATTATAATTCAGATTACTAATTACTGATGTCTACAGTACATCCTAAAGTTATCCAAAGTAAACAAAATTAATGAAAACAATGTGTTACCTTTCGGTCCCTATGAGAGCGTCCGTGATACTCTTCATAGTAGTAGTAGTCATCATCACCTCTGTACCCACGATTTTGGAATCTTGGTGGTGGACCTCTACCTCGACGATTATAGTCCCCTCCACGACTTCCTCTAGCCCCACGGTACAAGGGGTATATACCACCTCTAGATCCACTGCTACGTCCTCCACTTCGAGAAGATTCATAGCGGTTTCCTCTGTTACCTCGAGATGCTGATGATGTGGTCTTACTGCCCCCGCCCCGCTCAGCACTTTTGTTCTCAGGCACTTCAATATTTCCCTCAGTGTTCTCTCCGCCAGCGGTTGCTGTTTGAGAAGACCCTTGTGCGAGGGTAGTAGTTGTGGTGGTGATTGCGTCTGTTGTGGTTCCGGCCAGCTGTTGTTGGTGTAAACTTTGCTGCTGTAACAGTGGTGGTGGTGGGAGTTGTTGTTGCTGCTGTGCTGCTGCTGCTGCTGTGGTGGTGGTGGGGGTGGTGGTGGCGACTGCTGCTGCTGCTGTAATGATAGTAGTGGTTGTTGCTGTTGCTCTGACTGATGCAGTTGCTGCTTCTGCTGCTCCGACTGATGCAGTTGTTGCTGTGGTAGTTGGACGAGTTGTTGCATTAGGGGTTGTGGTTGGGACACTGAAGTTTTGCCAATAACTTCCTGTGGTGTTGATACCCTTGTTACGTCCACTGTTGTGGTGGTTGTGTTGTTTGCGAGAGTACTGTTGTTGATTATACTGGTGCTGACCTGACTGACTGCTGGTGCTGCTGTTGTTGTTGTTGCTGCTGCGACCACCCCGGTGGATGGCATTGTGCTCTCGCTGTTTAAAGTTGTTTGCTTGGCCACGCCCCAAATGCTGGACTCCGCGGACTTGGTCAAACTGTTGCCTGAATTGTTGGCCACCACCGTTGCCGTGCCGCTGGAATCGGGGCGGGAGCGTTCGGCGTTTTTTGAACGGCTCGCCCATACATTGTCCCTATGCTCCTTAGGGTGAACAACAACTTTTACTTCAACTTTGCGAACTTGTTCTCCCTGAGGTGATTTCTTAAGAGTTGTCATATTTTTCCTTATTTCCTTTTCTTTATCGGAGGCTTCTAACCTTTCTCTCGTAATAGGTGCTGGAGCATGAGCAGCACGGCCACTCTCCTTAGGTATTTCCCGCTGATGTAATTCACTGTTTTCTTTGGGACATTCTTCCTTGTATTCTTTCTCTGTTACCTTACCTAGCTTATCTTCTATTATCTCAATCTTTTTGGGGGATTCTTGGTAATTCAGTTCACGACTGAAATCATCCACTTTTCCATCTGTTCTATAATAGTCATCATATTCATATGTAGCATCTGCCCATGAAGTTATTTCTAACTTCTTTTCCCTTGGAAGAAGATTTGTCGAACGCTCGAAGGAGTCTTTGCTTGCACGTGATTCCCTACTGGACCTGCTGTCTCTACTGTCAGGACGTTGAGGGCGATCGCGTACTTCCTCGCGTAATTCCATTTGCTTCTCGGCAGCCTCAACTTCTTTGTCCCATTCTTTATGTACCATTCGCAATTCACTTGACTCAAAATCGGAAGAATCCTTATTTACAATAGGTTCGGGGTCGTACGGCCGACTCCACGGTTCAAGTTTTCCTTCACAACGCCTTTCGACAAAATTCTCCCCTCGCTCCGGTCTTTCAATACGGTCTTCAAAGTTCTTTCTGTTGTCAAGACGACGATTCTTGCTGCTGTCTCGTTCAAATTCTCTCGCTCTATTATTCCAATCTTCTCCATTTATGTTGCGACTGTGACAAATAAATTTATTGCAATTAACAATACATTTGATTCATAAATTATATATCTGTCACAATTTATAAAACATTTAACCTTCCAGTAATCAATTATATTTCAGAAACATTTTATACAGGATAAAGAGTAAACATTTTATACAGTAAATCTCTATCTTTATTATCAACACCATCAGAATATAATTTTGTAGCCTCTCTTCTATACTGCTTATGCCATTATGAGATCACCCATTTTCTTTTCCATGAAATTTGTTGCCCATTCATTGCTCTTCTACTGTCCATCAAACCAATGTAATGTATAGCTTCTTCCAACAAATAACTTTCATAACATATGCTCTCCCAACCTTCTTAATCCATATACTGTATGCATTTACACCACAACAGCCCGATTTCTTGGCACCCTGCTATGTATAGGTCTTGCTCTATTCATAGCTGTAGTCTTTTTTGTTTTGATTCTCTTGGTATTTTCTCTGTACCTTAGATATGAAATGCTGGGCAATCTTTCTTAAAACATTCCTTGTTTAATGAATTTTTACACAGTATTGGATGGAAAAGTCACAGATGCAGAATAAAATTCACAACGACGAGGTCAATCTACAGTCCTTCATTCACATTTAAATATATATATTCTACATAGATGATAACAGAACAACAGCTTACCGTCTATCAAAGTCAAAGTCTCTCTGGTCTTGACTTGCACGCTCTTCAAACTTTTCGTGATATGTTGTGCGTGCCCAACTTTCACGATCACGATCACGATCACGATCTCTATAGCTTCCTTGGGATCCACGCCCACGATACCTCCTGTAGGAGTGTATGATATATAAACAAACATGCATTTGATCACATTATCATCTATCAAGTGGGAGTTATAAATAGCATATCCGAGAGAAGGGAGGAAAAAATATATACTGTAGGTTTAAATGTTGGGTGAATGCAATAAAGGGTTGTGTAATGTGTCTCTGGCTCTTCACATGGTGGTAAAGATGGTAAAGTTAAGAACACCTTCAGCAGGAAGGGAAGTAGATGTGATGGAAATCCATTTCTGTTATTGCTAGGTTTGTATTCAGATGTGATTTTCTTTGCAGAGTGAGAGACTGCAGGAATTGCAGTCTCAATTCACAAAAAGTGCGTGAATGAACTCGAGTGTGCGCAAAATGTAAAGTTCAATGCAAGACAAAATAACGTAATGGTGTTTGAGACTAGGATATAGGATGATGAGAGTTCTAGGATGATTTGAGCTGTAGGACAAAAACATTAAGAGATAATGGACGAGGCAAGACTTAACCTATAACATGCAGTCGTTATTATTTGTCGATTTTATTTATTGCCGTCTGCTTTTCACACACCAATGACGTAAATATAGCTTTAATACATTTACAGTATATCAATTAAATTGGATAAGGTGTTAAGGTGCCCCACATCATTCCAAACATTTTTTATCATCATTTTGAAGCCTAGATTATTTACATTTTGAGTTTTGAAAGAAATCTCCAGCATTTTATTTAATTTTTAAGTTGCAAGAAAATCTGGCAATAATATTGGGTATATGTTCAGACACCAGATGGTGATGTTGCCAAAAATGGTCCCTATCTTTACTGGAGGTCTGAGGAAGCAAATACGAGACACGTATGTGTAGGACTATTTTAAATCTCTAAATCATACACATACACCAAAATCATATACCTCCACTTACGAATTTAATCCGTTTCCAGAGACGGGTCATAACTCGAAAATTCGTAACTCGAAATGAATTTTACAATAAGAAATAATGTAAATTGAATAATCTGTTACACATCCCCAAAAATATTAACTTAAAAATACATTTTATACCGAATACCACTCTTTTTGTGCTAGCTACAATACAGTACGTATATCTTACTTTTATAGAGGACTCCTGTTGGTGTATGGATGACAGTGAGGAGGGGGGGAGGAGGAGAGGTGTTATTGTTTGGAAGGGGAGTCCCCTTCCATTATAACATCAGGCAGTGATGACTTCTCTAGGGTACTCTCTCTCATACGTTTTGCCTGCATAACACTAGGACCTGGTTGTGGCTCACTGCTTGCTTGTCTTACTAAGAATCTGTCTAAAGACACTTTTTTCCCTACGTTTTAACACTGAAGTGAGACATCACATTCATTCACTATGAATGCTCTCTTGTTTTTCCTCTAGTCATCCTCACATGTGTTTTCTTAGGTTGAACCTTACCACTGACTTTCTTGGGACCCATGGCATGATATATAATAATTACTGTTATGCTCAAAACACACAAAGGCACAAAAACAAATTTTTAACAAGCACAATCATCACTAAGCAAGCGGCTCTGGTAAACTAAGGCAGGGTCGCCCGTGCCACCAGGAACCATGCACTCAGTCGACCCATACATTTATCAACAAAGTCGCTAGTCGAGTCAACGGTCGTAAGTCGAGTCACATTTTTTGACGAACTGGGGTTGTAACACGAAAAATTCTCAAGTAGGGGCAGTCGTAAGTCGAGATGCCAATATATATAAGCACCTCTCCAGGCAGACCAAAATCATGCATGTATGATTAGTGCCCTATGATTTGTGAAGGGTTAATATTTCACCATCCACATACTTAAAACAATTATCAAGTTAAAAAGCATAGCATAGGCTCTTTGCACAATGTTCTTCATGTGCTCTCCAGACAACAGTTTTCTATCAAGAACTCTCCCTAGATCTTTAAAAGCTGTCAAAATTTGTAGGTTGTGTGTGGCTATTTCCTCCTAATACACATTCCATAATGTGGCATTTATTCATACTAAATTCCATTTTTTATGTATGTTCCTGTCTTCTTGAAGAGCATGACAATCATGAAAGTTTCTTATCTTCCTTAGTATCTTGGCATTATCAGCAAACATGTTCATATAATTTGTATTCCTTCTGGAAGATCCTTTATAAAGACAACGAACATTGCTGCTGCTGTTAGAACTGAACCCTGTGTGGTACTTCACTAGTAACATTTCTCCCTGATACATTGCTTCTGATCAATGCCCTCATTTTTGTCAGTTTGAAAAATTTTGCATCCATATTAGAAGCCTCACTGTCACTCCCCCAGTATGTTCCAGTTTCCAGAACAACCTCTTGTGTTGGACTTTGTCAAAGGCCTTTTTTAGGTCCAGATAATTGCAGTCAACCCAAACATCTCCTGTAAAAATCTGTGGCTATCCTAGAAACTACATAAATTTATCACACATGTAGGATACTCCAAATACTGTATAAAACAATACTGTGTCTTATTATATCATTAAATCACAAAAACTTACCCATCTCTATCCGATCTGTCGTACAAGTCTTCACGGCCCCGTGAATCAATTCGTTCTGGGCGTTCTGGCTTTTCAACTCTATCTGTTCGCTCCACTCTGTCGGGCCGCTCCACTCTCTCAACCCTCTCGGGTCGCTCCACCCTCTCGGGCCGCTCCACCCTCTCGGGCCGCTCCACCCTCTCGGGCCGCTCCACCCTCTCGGGCCGCTCCACCCTATCGGGCCGCTCCACCCTATCGGGCCGCTCCACCCTATCGGGCCGCTCCACCCTATCGGGCCGTTCCACCCTCTCGGGCCGCTCCGCCCTCTCGGGCCGCTCCGCCCTCTCGGGCCGCTCCACCCTCTCGGGATGCTCCACCCTCTCCTGCCGCTCTACTCGCTCGGAACGATCATATCGATATTCCCTTTGATCAGAACGATCGTCCCTATCATCACGATGGCGTTCAACCGAGGGGACACTAGCAGGTCGCTCCTCAATTTCTCCCGAGGTATCACTGTCGGTTCTCAAGCGTCTCTCTTTGACACCTGAAATTACAAAAGCAATTTGTTAAATCACCCACCAGCAAGTGACTGACTACACGTACATAGAAATAAAAATAGTAATAAAATCCAAAATTAACAATCTCTACACATTTATTATAACAGGTTAAGTATCAATGGTTCTTGTATGATGTATATAGCAAATAAATCTACACAAAAACATTATAAATATTTTCAAGAACACATTGCCATGTCTAGTCAGAACACTGCTATTATCAGATTCCTGGCACTAAATCATGAACATGAAACACTTTCCACAAGAATATTTTCTAAAGAAACACGAGGTCACATTGTACGATGCGTAGATGCATGAAGCCTCAGCCATGTACAGCCAATGTCCGCATCCTGCTGTCAACATCATAACTAGTGTTGTCGTCACTGATATCTAAACCTTATACATAGTTTATAGTCAGGATCATTGCAAAACAATTGTTTTTTTATTCATTATTATTATTATTATTATTATTATTATTATTATTATTATTATTATTATTATTATTATTATTATTATTATTATTATTCGCGCTCTCCGCAAAGGTCACTCAGCCAACCGAATGTGCGCGCTGCGTTTTTATCGCTTAAGCGTAAAAACAAAAATGTGTATACTCTTTTTACTCTTCTGACCTTAGTTCTCATGCTACGTATTTCATTTTGGTACCAACGTGTTCGCAATAAAATTCTCTAGAAGAACATTAGTAAAATAAGTCACGAAACATATAGGGATACCAGCACCAAATAAATAACTACGTAGATGACTCGCCGTGAGCGCCCATCAGCAACAAAATGTTTTTACTCTTGGGATTGTAATCACCTCCACACTTGTTCTACAGCGTTAATTTTGGTATCAATGGACTCGCAATGAAATTCCCAACACGGTGATATGAATATAAGCGTAGAATAATGATGCAGCCCGCCCGCAAGAGTGTGGGAAGTGGTGAAATTGTTACCCGGTATCGGTGACGGGACGACGCACGGCGCTTTGAAAGTTTATACTTATTTCACTCTCATGACATTAATTTTCTATGTACGTCATTCATTTTTATGTCAATGTGTTCGCAATAGAATGTTCTATGTGCCCATAGGTAAAAAATATCAACAAAGCGTAAGTTAGAATAGCGACAAATATAAAACAATGCTGGAACATATCAGTGAGCGTCAAACACACACGAAATATTTTTACTTTTGTTATGTTTGTCAAGATTATACTTGTTGCACACAGTTATTTTTGGTTGTATATTGATCGGAATAAAATTCCCTAAACAGACATATGCATATAATACATGATATGGGGAAGAATTACCAGTATAAACGGCTAAAGTCACCCACCTGCAACCCGTTTGGGACAAAATACCATTTGATCGAAGTTATCCACACCTTTCATGAACTTATTGTACCATGCAGCCTAGTGGTGAGAAAGAGAGCCTCATAGCGCGCAGTTTGAAACAAACCCAAAGTAAATCGGATAAAAATTGAATTTTATACAAATATTTTAAAAGTTGACCTAACTTTATGTCCACTATGCGTTTACGTTAGACGAAACCGAACGCGCCGGCGCATCCAGATAGCGCGAAAGTGTTAAGTGGTGCTGTGGCCCCAACCTGTACAACTGTACTGTGAGCTGCTGCTGTATGTGCCAGCCTTGATCACTCTGGAAGTACTTAGGCTGCCAAAGCCAGGAAGGATACAAACGATTGGTTTCATGATGCCTTCTGTTTACTGAAGTCCCGAGTCACAGGTTGAAACCCCTATGTACCCACAGATGTTTTGAATCATTCCCTATACCTACAACTGTCATATGGCATCATGCCATATGACAGTTTTACTCAGGCACCTATACTGGCACCCAGGCTATAAAGGCACCAGCTTCAAATCCACTTTGTGAACACTTCTTACTACAATTCTTCTTTGTGCGTCGGACAAGTGTTTGCATCTCTATATTACTGCATTATCCCTCAGTTCCAGTTAATTTAACACTTTCGCACTTTCCTGGAGCTGTTCTCCCTATCAACCAAATGCTCATTATTATTAAACAATTCATCTAAAATCAATTTCTGAAAATATTTTGATGAAAATTTCACGATGCTGAAGCCAGTAAGTTGGAGATTTGTTGAACATTTTTAAATTTTTTTTTTTACATAATTCAAATATTTTTCGCTTCCGGCCCCCAATATGCGCGGTTTAAGGGTTAAAGAAGATAAAAACATTGCCTGTCAATTGATAACTAAAAAAAATAACAGGTTGAATAACAAAAAAAACTTCCAAACAAGAGATGCCACACACATGATGATACTTTTTAAGACATTAGTGCTCTCTAGAGAGGAATATTGTTGCGCATTAACAGCCCAATTCAAAGCTAGAGAAATTGCAGACTTGGAAAGCATGCAAAGATCTTTGTCTGCTAGAATCCACTCAATAAAACATAAAATTCTTGGAACTACCTAAATATTTTAATTCTGTATTCCCTAGATCACAGGTAGGAGAGAGAAGAATTTACACTTGTAAAATATTTGAAGAACTGTTTTTAAATGAACACATACAAATAACACAACATGAAACCAGAAGGCATGCCAGAATGTGTAAAACAGCCCCACTGAAAAGATGAGGTGCAATAGGCAAGCTGAGAGAACTATCAACATCAAAGACCCAAGACTTTTCAACAATCTTTCTCTACACATACGGGACAAAACTGACTGACTTCTCACATTGTTCAAGAAAGAACTCGACAAGAACCTTCAAAGGATACCTAATCAACCAGGCTGTGATTTTTATGTTAGGCTATGAGTAGCCACATCGATCAGTTGCGGCCTGGTTGATCAGACTAGCAACCAGGAGGCCTGGTCAGAGACCGGGCCTGGGGAACTTTGATCTTCGGAATCATAAACGGGTAGCGACATGTCATTCCAGTGACTTGAGGAAGCCCTGGTCAAGCTGACTCAATATTCTCTATGGTTCATGAAGGGGTTTATTCTGTCACAATATGTCCCAGACATTCCACTGTTCATAATCACTTCATTATCAAAGTGCTCATTCAAATGTTGCAACATTGCTTTAAATACACACCAGAAACTACACTATTTAATCTCAATAAGAAGCTTCATACTATGGAGATACAGTATTGTCTAAGATGAGGCTGCAGAAAAAAAGGGAAATCCATAATACTAAATACACCACCATGGATGAATAATAAAAGTAAAACATTTTTTGTTTAACTTACCATCAGTGTCGTGCCCCATAAAGCGACCAGCAGGCGTTGTACCAAAGCTTCCAGAAGCACCAAAGCGAGGTTCAAACGATGGTGGTGGCTGGGCATTAGGCCCACGGAAAGGCTGCCCACCACGCATCATCTCTTGCTGCTGCTGCTGTTTTTGGAACCTGGGGGGCAACTTACTCTTGAACTGTGATGAAAACACAGGTTGTTGTTCTCGTGCCCCATCACGTCTGTCATACGGTCGTTCAAACTGATCCCTCGAGTGATCCCGGTAACTTTCCCTGTAATTATCCCGCCTGTCTTGGTACTGCCGATAATCACGTCCACCATCACGACTCAAAGCTTTATCATCCCTTGTTTCACTATTGCCACGCGAGCACCCAATAACAGGATCAGTCTCTTCCCTTTCCCTTTCATCAATAAAATCAGCACGAGCATCCCACGAGTCCTTGTGTTTCTTTCCAACACTCTTGGTCTGCTCGTACCTCTTTTTTTCTTCATAACGCTTTTCTTCCTCTTCGTGGCGTAGGCGTGCCCGCTCAAGAGCAACCTGCACTTCATCCCCAGTAGCCCGTTTTTCACGCCACATCTCTTCCTCTTCACGGGGAAGTGGTGCTGGGGAGTGTGAAGGTGCATGCACAGGATGAGAGGTAGTGTGTGTTGGAGGGTGGACAGGATTTACAGAGGGAGGATGTGAGGGCACAAGTCCAGGCGTACTTGAATTATGAGAAGGTGCATGTGAAGGGAGATAAGAAGGCCCAAGGTGGGGTGGACCACCCCTCATTCCAGATCCCTGGAGACCACCATAGTCTCTAGATGGACCTCCTCTTGGATAATCATAATTTCTTTGCTGTTGCCATCTACCCGATTCACCAGGAGAATAACGACGATTATCCTGAACACGACGGTCTTCCCCAACTTCTCTTCTACTCTCACGATCTCGAGGACCCTGGTGGGCCCTCTCTCTCAAACCTTGCTCTCTCTCCTGCTCACGGTCCCGGGATACTAGTTGCTGCTCACGGTCCCGGGATACTAGTGCTTGCTCACGATCCCGTGACACTTGTGCCTGCTCACGGTCCCGGGACGATAGTGGCTGCTCACGGTCCCGGGACAATGGAGGCTGCTCACGGTCCCGGGACGATGGTGGCTGCTCACGGTCCCGGGACAATGGTGGCTGCTCGCGATCCCGAGACGATGGTGGCAGCTCGCGGTCCCGAGACGATGGTGGCAGCTCGCGGTCCCGAGACGATGGTGGCTGCTCGCGGTCCCGGGACGATGGTGGCTGCTCGCGGTCCCGGGACGATGGTGGCTGCTCGCGGTCCCGGGACGATGGTGGCTGCTCGCGATCCCGGGACGATGGTGGCTGCTCGCGGTCCCGGGACGATGATGGCTGCTCACGGTCCCGGGACGATGGTGGCTGCTCGCGGTCCCGGGACGATGGTGGCTGCTCGCGGTCCCGGGACGATGGTGGCTGCTCGCGGTCCCGGGACGATGGTGGCTGCTCTCGGTCCCGTGACGATGAAGGTTGCTCACGGTCCCGTGACGACAGTGGCTGCTCACGGTCCCGGGACGATGGTGGTTGCTCACGGTCCCGAGACGGTGGTGGCTGCTCACGGTCCCGGGATGGTAGTGGCTGTTCACGGTCCCGAGATACCAGTGCTTGCTCACGGTCCCGGGATGATAGTGCTTGCTCACGGTCCCGAGATGCCAGTGGCTGCTCACGGTCCCGAGATGCCAGTGGCTGCTCACGGTCCCGAGATGCCAGTGGCTGCTCACGGTCCCGGGATACTAGTGGCTGCTCACGGTCCCGAGATGCTAGTGGCTGCTCACGGTCCCGAGATGCTAGTGGCTGCTCACGGTCCCGGGATACTAGTGGCTGCTCACGGTCCCGAGATGCTAGTGGCTGCTCACGGTCCCGAGATGCTAGTGGCTGCTCACGATCCCGGGATGCTAGTGGCTGATCACGGTCTCTTAATACTAATGCCTGCTCACGGTCCCGTGACAATAGTGCCTGCTCACGGTCCCGCAATAATAGAGGCTGCTCACGGTCCCGTGATACTAGAGGCTGATCTCGGTCCCGAGATGATAGTGCCTGCTCACGTTCCCGCAATAATAGAGGCTGCTCACGGTCCCGTGACACTAGAGGCTGCTCACGGTCCCGCAATAATAGAGGCTGCTCACGGTCCCGTGACGCTAGAGGCTGTTCACGGTCCCGCAATAATAGAGGCTGCTCACGGTCCCGTGACGCTAGAGGCTGCTCACGATCCCGTGTCGCCAGAGGCTGCTCACGATCCCGTGTCGCTAGAGGCTGCTCACGGTCCCGTGACACTAAAGGCTCCTCGTGCCTTTCATCACTTTCTCTGCCATCACGTATTCGCTCTTTCTCCCACCTTTCCCGCCTATCTGACTTCCAATCTAAGTTTTTCTGTTTGCTGCTCTCCTCTTCTGCAGCTCCTTCATCTTCACTGAAGTTCAACTTTTGGCTGTAAACATGAAAAATATTCAATTAAAAAAGAATCAAGAGCTCTTATTACAGAGGCACAGATCTAGAATTATCATTAATTACTTCTATTCACCAGCAAAACTAAATATAAATTACAATACAAATTTTAACTCTTAAAAGAATATATTTGTCCAACTAACAAATCGAACTTAATGTGTGTGTGATTGTTTAAGTGTAATTACAGGACGAGAGCTACACTCGTGTCCCATCTTCCAAGTACTCGTATAACAGTTTGTAACTACTGACGGTTTTAACCTCCACCTCCTTCTCACTTAGCTTGTTCCAATCATCTACCAATCTGTTTGCAAAAGAAAATTACCTAATATTTGTTCGGCACCTGTTCTTTCACCGTTTTCCCTCGTAATGTGATATTGAGCATTTTTTAATCAGTCTTCGCTTCATTTGAGACGTCATTTTCACATTGTGTGCGCTCTGCTCTTCTCACACGAAGGTAATTTTTCCTGGCCCTTCTCCATGCCTTTGTATTTAATTGCCTGCCTTCCTTACAGGCCCGATTAAACCATGGTTCCCTCTTTTTGCTTTCCATTTTTTCTTTTGGGCCAGGAAAGCATCTTTACTGCTTCCTGACATTTGGTGTGATGAAATCCATCATGTCTTGTACAAACTTTACTCAGTTCTGTTTCGGTATGTGTTTTCAGTCTATCTTCCCATGGTTGAAGTCTCCCATGATTAGTAATCTGGGTGTTTCGGCAAGCAACAGAAACTACTCTCTATTACAGTATATTAACGGTAGCCATGTTTCTATCATATTACTGCCTGGGTCTTCTGTTATTCTGAGGGGATTGTGTATTATTTATTGTCCTCCAAATTGCCACGGTGTCTTTTGTTGTAACTGAACCTTCACAGCCCGAAGTAACCATCTCTCAAAACTCCATTCTTATCAACAGAGCTTCCACTCCTTCACCTCTTCCTTCCCTCTCTTTCCTTACCACAAAGTCCAGGGAAAAGTCCTGCAGAAACACTGCATTTGTTATAATTTTAGTTAATTTTGTTTCGTTGAGTGGTGTTATTATGTCTGGGTTTTCTTCTTGTGACCTTTCTCCAAGTTCACCTGTTTTATTTGTGATCCCATCTGTTTTGAGTACATTATCTTGACGTTCACTTTCTTCTGTCCATTCTAATTTCCCCTCATCCTTGATGGGCATTCCACTGGCATAGGAAGTTGATCCATGGGTGTGGCAAGTTGTCAGCTGGTTAACAGATCCTCAGAGGATTCTGGGGTGAGGGAGGGGTCCAAGGCAATTTGGAACATTATCAACATTCTACTTTGTAAATATTGCAGTCCATCCTTCTGTTTTGGTAGTACAGTACTTATAGTAATGATGAGGACCATAGTATATATACCGATGTTGAACAAAATTAGAAAGTAAAAATTAGCACTATTGAGTTGGACAAACCGGAAAACCATTTTCAACTTGTGTTGCAAAGACAAGACAAACTAAACTAAACTAACCTAACCTTCCTAGGCCTAATTCATGATATCTAAGGCCTAATATAGTACATGTGTGCGCTATACTAGACCTAGGAATATTTAATCACGTTTTTCAGACTATAAAGTGAATAGTACAAAGTTCTACTAGCTAATTGCCTAGAATGGCAATTGTTCTTCTATGGTGCACAAAGTTACAAAAACTACTATCTAAACAAGAGAATGGGTTGAAATATTATCAATTACATACATGGACATTAGATAAACTAAAAAAATAAGGAAACAATGAAAATGCAGAGAAAAATAGGATGCAAAAGTATTTGTGGCAACTCTTGAGAGTTGAATTGCCTGCGCGAACAACTCTGAGCATTTCCTGCACGGACAAACACCCAGCCATGATGTTATCGGTCATCTTCTCCACTTCACTGCAGCCAAAGTGCTTGTTTATATTGTTTCTTATGTTTGTGGTGTGTTCATGGAAGGTATTTTAACAATACAAGGAAAGAGGAGGGGGGAGTGGGGTTATTTTTTCTGTGTTCCGGGGACTTGTCATATTTGATAGTGGCGCAGTACAGTGGTTACGAGTCGCTAAAGCTAGGCTTCATTCACGAGTGTCAATTGGGTCCAGACAGATTCACTTGCACTAGTTCTATGGGAGAATTTCCTGCAGAGTGATTTTGCTAGTTTTACTGTGAAACGCTTGTTAAAGTAAAGATTCGCAATTGATGTAATATAGTTAAATAATGTTAAGTTGCCCCCATGAAATCTCATCTTCAGACATTTCTTAGTAATATGCCCTGTCTGAAATGGTAGGGTACTGGAGAACACAAAAATTTGAGGACCTATATCAATACCTCTGCAGTACAAGAAGGAATCTGCATGATCGAAGATTACGATCTTGAACACCTGTCTTGAGGAGGCTATAGTGGAGCCATACCTCGGTAGGTTGACCCAGGAATGTGTGCCACTGCTCTGGCATCCATGTGATTTCTGGATTACCTCTGCAAGCAAAGGTGGTCGGAAAATCGTACAATCTTACCTCTACGACTTGGAAAAATATAACTTACTTATAATCTACTTCTCCAGCACTAGTGGCCCAGTCCTCAGCCACACAAGGATCATCCTCAAACCCCTCTAAAGCTTCCTTCTTAATAATAGGAGGAGGCAAAACAATATCTTCATCAGTAGAGCCCGTGGGAGGGGCACCGCCCCCTCTGTAACGCTGGTCACGTACAAAAGGGGGTCTTGGATGACCAGGATAATTTGGTGGAAAACCTCCTGGGAAGTTACTACGCACCATCTGTAAAAGAAATTAAGTATCACATGAAATGACAAATAGGAATGGGGACAAGATCAAATGATTAACTACATAACTGTACTACATTTGCATTCTATGAGTATGCTACCATATACTTGTAAACAGAACATTTTAGCAACATTTTAAAAAATTCTATCTAGGCGATGCTAATCCTACATTTTTTAGAATGTTGCAATGATTACACTCATTTATACAATAAGAAGTGATCCAACACCCATTGTGGGGAAAAAATCCCATAAATCCCATAAAATCCCCATAAAGTATAAAAACTGTGTTATCCATACTAAGAATAAGGACTCTTAAATTTGAATTATAAAAAGTAAGCCATGGAAACAATATACTACATTGTACTGTACTTACATAGGGAGGTGCGACTCCCCTGAATTGATGAGATTGGGATCCATGAGATGGGACTGGTCCCATGGGACCAATGGGACCTCCTGGCACCATTGCTGACCCACCAGGTGGTGTTCCTCTTGGTCCCATACCCCCAGAACGATTTGGGGGATGCACCTCTCCTATACATAGAAAATGAAACATGTTAAGACATTCTTTAGTAAAGAACCAAGCACTGAATAAACAAATGCCCTAATAGGTATTCTACTCCTCTTTAGGTTCTACGGAGCTCTTGTACCAATACACACAAAATGCTACCAGGCCTCTGGAACTTACACAGGACTATTGAACACTAGGAACAGAATTTAGCATACTCATTGAGGCAAGAGGAACATGGGGATTAAAGACCCACCCCAAAATGAAAAAATATGCCTAGAAAGAACAGGTAAAGCAAAACCACAAATCTGGATTTAAAAATTCTGACAATGGTAAACAAGTCATTACACAGTGTATCACCAGGTAGCAGCTCCTGACACCAAGAAGCAATGTACAGCATTGAGAAGACAGGCAGTGATGAGTGGATATGGGTCAGACAGAAAAAGGCAAGAAAGGGAATGTGACCTAAACCACTAATATAACAATAGAGCAGAACGCAACAGTTGATGCGTTACCGTACAGTCGGCAATAAACAATGGGAGTTCACACCTCATTCAGGCACTAACCAAGGGCCAGGTCAACTCGGGTCAACAGTAATGTGGTCACAAGGTTGTCGGTTACGATGCTGTCACGCTAACACACGAGGATTAACACTTTCACATCAAAAGGATGCTGACGATCTCACATAACCCATTCAGCTGTATACAAGATTACGTTTAATGAGAACAGTGTGTGTGTGGACTGGGGCATGTTGTGTGCATTCAAAACCCTGAAGGAAGAACATCAAGTACCTCAAGATCACGTGAACTCATTGTGTTTGCAAGTATGGCCCTCTCATATCCAACACCTTATCACTCAAGGCCTAATATAGTACATGTGTGCGCTATACTAGGCCTAGGAATATTTAAGTTGGTATTTTAGCTTCACTTATTTTAAAAGAATTCCTTACTAGTCAATATACAACTATCTAAAAGCTAAGAACGTACAAATTATGACTATTGACGATCATCACAATAGGTACTATCTAAACAGGAGAATGGTTTGGAGATACATTTCAGATACCCAGTGGCCTAAAGTCCTCAATGACCCACACTCGCATGATTTGATTGTGTTTACTGTGTTGGTGGGGTGGGGCCCTGGGCTGGAGATAGGAGGCGGGTGGGGAGGTTTACCCGAGGCCAATTACAAAATGGCAGACCACCAATACAATGCACATGAAATTTCCTTTATTAATTCATGTAATTATATCACTCCACTCTTCAAAAACAGCTAACTTTGACAAGCAGAATAACAATCAAGGTAAATAATGTGTTTTTTTTATATTACATGTCCCCAAAATATTGGTTTTGTGGGGATTTTTAAATGGTCTAGGAACGAATCTGCCGCATAGATTTATGGAAAAACTCAATCCACGTTCCTACAAATGCTTGACAAACACAGTCTCTGAACATAATTGTCATAATTAGGGAACTGCCTGTACTCAAATGAGCAGTAAAAAATTTAAAGGAAACGTTTTCAGTGTCAGTAGTTGTTAAATGGAATGCATTAGACAGTGATGTGGTGAAGGCAGACTCCATACAAAGTATCAAATACAGAAATGATAGAGCCCAATAGGTTCAGGAATCTGTACACCAGATTGATGGTTGAAAGGTGGGCCCCAAAATCTGAAGCTCAACCCCCACAAGCAAAATTAGATAAGTACAGCTAGGTAAGGTAAATACACACACACACACACCCTTTACACTCAAAAATGGAGCAGCCAGCCAGTCCAATATTAGTTTGTTTGTTTGTGTTTGTTTGTTTGTTTTGGGGGGGGGGGGGCTAAAGATGTTTTTGGGCATTTTCCTGTTTTGGGTTACTCCCCGATTCCCCACGCTTCCCTGCCTACGCCAGATTCTGATGCTGGTGTTCAGTAGGCCTGGTAACACTGAGGTACTAGAGGCAAGTGCACCAGGAACCTACTGAGAGGTCAGTGCAGAAAACACTTTGTAATCTATAATGTCTGTACTGCATTTTACTTAATGAACCTAGGAAATTCTTATTCTTTACTGTTAACAATTATTATTATTTATGCTACTGTATAGCTATAGTGTGAATGATATAAGAAAACAAGTGTTATTTTTCAATATCTATGACCTTTCACTACATGCTCACCCTTTTTCCCCCCGTCAAAATACGTAATGGGTAAATAATGCTGTAATTGAATAACAAACAATTATTATTACCATTTTCGTTATTATTCATAATCATTTTCAAAAACTATTTGTAAACAAAACTATCTAACCATTAAATGTAGTTGTAGTCTGTGGGTTGGGCAAGCGCTCATCCTGCGGCAGCTGCACCACCCCACGACCCCCACCCTGGATCCAGCTGCCCTCGGCTGCAGAAGGAATATCAAGAAATAAGTGTGTGCAGCCAATTAAGAGAGTCTGAACTAGAAGCAAATGTTTAAAGTATCTACAAGCTTAAAAAGGTATACGAGTAAAGTGATATCCATTTTGTTTCAATTTCAATGGGATGTGTACCATCTTTCTATTTTATCCCTCAAAGTGCAATTGTTCTTTGCTGATTTCCTATGCTACTGTGATCACCTTTGTATGAAAACTTTCATTATTACACATTTTGTTTACCCAAGATGTTAATATGGTTGTAACAGCTCTATATAGCTGTAATGGAAGTAACTAAAACTTGAGAAAAAAAAAACATTGAATGTAATGAAATGACTCTTTCTAGTTGGGCCTTGGTGGTTCCCTGTAGCTAGATGCAGAGATAGCTCCAAAAATCAATCCTAAGAGTTCTTAATGGCCAACCAGAGACCAGCACCTAAATCTGGCCCACTCACAGAGGTGCACAGAGCAGAAGACTTTACGATCACCCTCACCATAGGAAACAACAGAAAGTAAGCAGAATGAAGCAGCAGATCTGTAAATGATCCACCCAGTACAGTCCAAATTCCCCCTAGTTACAGCTATCCCCCTTCAGCTGGCAGCATCCTGGGAACTGCTGGCTCCTATGTCAACAATAGTCAGTCCAAAGTCTAAGACCACCAACTAAATCACTAATAGGATGGGAGGAACCAAGGAGCCACCGAGGCCCAACCAGAAAGAGGCGTCATTACATTCAACACTGGTTTTCTGCGGGCTCCCTGTAGCTAAGGTAGCTAAAAGAAGAGGGGAACCAAGATTTACCAAGGAAGAGAGCAAAGAATTTGAAATATGAAGCGAGCCCAGGATGCAAAACCAAACCAAGAGCTACACAATACTGACTGGAATAGGAACACTGACCAGGATATCAGCCCAAGACATGTTAGATCCCACCAGTTCTGAACCCAAGTTACCCAGGGTTATGTAGATGCTATTCCATGTGTTTGTGATCTTGCATCTTGGCACTCTTTCAAAGTATTTCTGTGCGACGTTAGTGTTACTTGTTTACAATTTTTTGCCTTGGCTTTATTCCCTCCTTTATGGAGTGGTGTTATCTCTGCTGTTTTAGTATGTCAGGGGTAACACCAGCATCTAGGCTCCATCTCCAAAAAATGTTAATGGTAGGAGCACCCAGTTCTTAATCCATGTTGTCCATGATTATGTAGACTGATTCCTTGTGTTTTGTGATCTCGCTTGTTAATGATCTTCACAGATTTTTGAGTGTGATAAGTGATATTGGTGTGTAATGTTTGGCATGTACTTTACTACCTCCTTTGAGGTCACTTGTAGTCTAGGTCAAGTAATGGCTACAAAATATAGGGACCAACTGACCTCCAAAAGTAAAATATTTTTTAGAGGCAAACTATACCAGTGTTTCTTTACACTTATTAGTTTTTAATATCACTTGTCCCCCACCCCCTTAACCCCTGGCCAGCACTTGTGTTTATAGCCTGGCTGCACATTTTGGCTGCAACTGAGCAAGAAAGTCTGGCAAACTTGAGGCACTGACACAGTAAACAGACCCGCGCTGGTCTCCACCACCCCGCACTGTCAGGCAGGAGTTGCCACAAAGATACAGTATTATCAAATTATTTCAATTATTTTTTTTTTTTGCATTAATATTATTCAATAGTGTGTAGTGATATATTTATATAATAAAATGAGAGAACCATTGCTATACTCAAAAGTATGGTGTACATATTAGTGATTCAATGATTATGTTCATAAAACAAATAGTGTTGCTATTATTACACTATATACACACACGTTATATTTAAGTTTGCAAGTTAGCAAATAACTAAGTTGGTATGGTGAGTCCAAGCAACATGAGTGGGCTGCCACACCTAAATCACCCAGCCAGCCAACCCTCCCTCACTCCAACATCTAACTCACCAACATCCCTCCTCCCACAATACTGTTTGTGGTTTTATTACACTATATACACATAATATATACAAGTATCTACAAGTTTTATTCACCATAACTGTACAACTAAGCTGATATGATATCTAAACAGCATAGTGGCCACCATACACTGCATAAGTCTCACAGCAGTCAACACATGACAGCCTCATTCCCTCCAACACCAACATCTCTCTCACCAAAATGGCTCCTCCCAACATATTCCTTTTGCTGTTATTACACTATATACACATGTTATATATAAGTATCTATATTTGTGTTCACCATAACAAACCACTAAGCTGGTATGGTGTCTAGACAATAACAGGTTGGCACACACAGTCAGCCGATGTCGCCACCTCTCCCTCCCTTACTAAGATTACTCCTCCAGCCATACTATGCACATTGCTAATTCTCACCACAATCCTGCTATTATCAGAATCCTGGTCACTAAATCCTGTAAATGAATAATTTTCCACATTTATTTTGTAAAGGAACATGAGATGTCGTTTCAAGATTCTTAGATGGATCAAACAATGGCAGTGTGCTGTGGCTAGCACTGAATATTTTGAACAGCATCGTGTTTACTGATATCTGAACATTGTACACAGTCAATCACAGTCAGCCTCTTCTTTAATACTATCATGGCTAAATACCAGCTACACACATATATTTTGACATTTTTAGGCGATGCTGTGGTCACAAGCTGAACAGCAGTGCTGTTAGTTCATGCTGTATGCACCAGCCTTGGTTGCTCACTCAGTACTGAGGCTCTTACAACCGGGAATGTTGCCCACAATTTAAAAAAAAAAAAAAAAATGCTGTGTTTACAAGAGATCTGAGGAAGCTGATGTGAACTCCATGTAGCTGCGGGACTTTTAACTCTTGTGCGGTACTCCCAACCATACATAGCTGTGGTGCGCCATCCCACAATAGTTACTCATCCCAGCTATAAATGTATTGTGCCCTTTTAAGGTTAAACAATTTATTAAAATGATTCTACAATCTGCTACCAGCAGGTTATTTTAATTAATAACAACATGTACCTTTCTTGACCCAACATATATAATTGTTAAAAGTTTCAAACTGATAGCACAAAGGCATTCTCCAAGACAGAACAACAGATTTGAAACAAAGAGTAAACAAAAAAAACATTTAGGTATTTCTACCAAGGACATTTAACAACTTGAACATTGCACTTACTTTGAGGTCGTAAGCTGGGCCCAGGCCCATACTGCGGCGAAGACTCTGCTGGCAAGTTGCCACCACCAAGTTTGGGGAACTCCCGATGAAAAAACGGCGACTGTTGGACTGAGGAGGACTGTGGGAGCCCACCATCCAGTGGGAGCGGTGCCCCGGGGGAACCACCAGGAATTACCCCACTTGCTGCTGCACTGCTCCATGGCTTGTTGCTGTTGTTTACATTGTTGTTCCCATTGCTTATGTTGCTGGTGGGTGTGGAAGTGGTAATGCTGCTGCTGTTTATGGTGAGGTTGCTCATGAGGCTGGGAATTGTAGCAGTGGTAGTTGTGCCACACGTGGTTTTGTTGCTCGAATTGCTGCTCATGTTGCAGATTAAGTTGCTGGTGCTTGTTGTGGCAGTGCTGGTTGTGGAAGTGATAGATATACTGCTTACACTGGGATTGTTGATATTTTTGCTTTTGTTGTTGGTGGTGGTATTTCCGTTGTTGTTGTTGTTGGTGGGTGTGGTGGTATTGCTGTTCGTAATAATAGTGGGACTGTTGAGCGTAACCCCACTGTTCCCACCTTCCAGTACTGGACCGCCTCCACCAATTACTAGTGAGAGAAATATATTATTAAGCATTATCGCCAAACAAAACACATACGTTAACAGGCCTGCAAATTGTCTACAGCCAGTTCAAAACTTTCTACTCTTGCTATCTTGACTGAGAGGCAAAGTAATGTAGTGGCACTTACATAAATATAAATCAGACCTCTTACTTAGGTACACAATAAATAAAGCCTAATAAACATAATTTTGTTGAGTAAATCAACAAGAAAACTGTCTTTTGGCTAAACACACAGCTGTATACAACATTAAATTGCCTCTTGGTTTTCCAAAAGCATTGATAATAATTAAATCTGCTTAAACAAAATTTATGGCCCACATTAAGATCTATATAAGTTTACACAGGATACAACCTAGTGGCGAGTAATGATGACTTTCACTTTCACTCAGTGGGCATCCGCATTGTCTGGTCTGTGAGGCTGTTTGTCTTTGTAGCACCAAAGCCCTCACAGCCATAACAGACAGGGTGATCTGTTAATATCAACAAAAACATATCCAGTTTTCCCTTGAAGGCTTTCACTGCTCCAGTAGCATTTCTCATTTGTTAGCAGGAGATTGATAAGCCATGAGCCTCCGATGTTTACATTAATTGTGCTCACTGCATGCCCGACTTATTATTGGATATTTTATATTTCCTACCATATTCTTCAAACGAATGATAAGTAAGGAAGATAAACTACACAAGGCAGAAGAATCTATGGAATCATTTCAGAAATAGAGGTTACCCGGAGAATATACTACAAGACACCAGAATAAAAATAAATGGCAAGAAGACAAAAATTGTTCCATGCACCGAGACACCCCAAGACACCAAGGAGAGGTTAATCATCTCGCTTCTCTATTTTCCGGGAATAGCGGGTTCTTTACGCCAAGACCTGGCAAACTTATGAGATTGGCTTAAAGTCACCCACTGAGAGCATCTGGCATGGTCAAACTTTCCACCCTTACCTCCTATGTTAGCATGGATCAAGGGGAAATCTCTAAGGGACATAATGGTTAAAACTAGTCTTCCGTAACATTAGCGAACCTTCCTTCGACCCCACTGAAGGAGGGTGTTAGTTGGGTGTTTTTTTTATAGGACAAAGCGATCTGAAAACCTAGGTACCTGTGTAAAGGTTGAGAAGATCCTACAATTTATAGAAAATGTATACCAACCTGTGAAAAATGTAACCTGCATGGGCTAAAAAGAGAAATTAATTGGGACACTTATTTAGGTAACTGCCCTTTACTTGGACCTTTAGATATGTAAAATACCGAGATTGATGCATTTAATACCCATTCATATGACCATGAGTCTATACAGTACTTGGAAAATGGATCCATGAAATGCCCCCTCCTGCACTTAAGAGAATGACTTCTCTTATACATATCGTGCATGCAGAAATCCATCTTCATTAAGAATGAAGAAAGGAAATTGGTGAAGGGTACCTGCTTGATGGGGTTCTGAGTTCTTCTACTCCCCAAGTGACTGGGTGGTGATGAGGGGAGGCCCAGGCATACCCTCTACCCCACCCCTCCCACCCTTCACCTTCCCCTTCACCATGGGTAATGAAACTGTTGAGGGTAGGGAAGGTGACGAAAGAGAACCCAATGGTGCCCGAGTAGTGATGACAGTTACAGAGATGAAGACAGTATTAGCTGATGATAGCTACATTAGTGAGGATGGTCATGTAGTGCAGACAGTGACAAAGTTGCAGATTAACACATTTATCAACGAAAGTCTATGACATTACTGGGAGGTTGAGAATTTGGAGTTGAACTTGTGCTGTTTCCTAGGTTGCTGTTGGTTGATACTTGGTTGCCCACATCCACACTCATAGGTGCCCCTGCCCCGGGTGCCTGTCAGAACAAAAATATACAGCACATTACTAAAACGTTTTCCATTTCACAAATATATGTACATTATCTATTGAGTAAATGCTGAATATTAAATAACCAGAAATTATGTGTAAACTGTGGAAAAACAATTAAATTATGCCAACAATTATCATGACCAAGTAGTGTGTGTGTATGTTCAAATTAATTATTTTATAAGAAAATTGTAAAATTGTGATCAGCAGCAGAAAGCGAGAACACTTGCCTTTAGAGTGAGATCGAGTGGTGGAGTTGGTGTTGGCGTTACCTCCTGAGGGGTCGACGACCCATCGGGGGTCATCTCCTCCGCCTTGCTGCCCCATCCTTGACCACCAGCTGGTACCAAATTCACGTTAGGATCGTTACCACTATTCTCTGCTTTCAGGCTTGGCAAGTTAGCAGGAGGAGGAACGCGCCGTACAGACGCCACTTTACCCAGGCTTTGCATGCCATGTTTCTGAATTACAGTTTTTTGGGTGGTTTCAATAGATTTGCCCTGCAAACAAATACATATTAATCCATTTGCAAATTTAGGAGAGGTCAAGACATTCTTAATTTGTTTGCTAAGATAAATATCTGACCAAGGATAACAAACTTGAGAATTGAAATTAAATATTAACCACAAGTGCACTCTTTAATGTATAAGCATAATTTGTAATACAGTAGTATCAACATACCTTCCTACTAATATTAATTTAGTTATGCAGACATTATACAATTCAGTAGTATTTACAATAGTGCTGTATGAGAATTAGTAGTTTAAGAGACTTGACTAAACATATTCTGGTGATTGAGGTAGATATCCTCAATTACAAGCCGATATTAATTATTGGCTTGTAATTTTTCAGTGTCTTCTACAGAGGAAATGTTCATGCTGATTTTTATCAGCAGCAGCAAAGGATGCCACAAAGCTGTGACTAGTATTTTTGTCAATATCCAAGATAAGAACAAGATACAGCAGTGGTGCAAGGCCTGTGCCTTATTGTACAGAGCTATTCACTGCACTTTGACTTGATCCTATTTGATTGACTGTTACTCTCTGCATTCCGTTTGACAGAAATTTGAAAATCCGACGCCCCACTTTACCCGTTATTCCAAATGATCTAATTTTATGGGCTATCACTCCATGGTCACACTCATCAAATGCCTTTGCAAAATCTTTGTATACAACATCTACATTTTGTTTTGCATCTAATGCATCTGTGATTCTGTCACAGTGATTGAATACTTAGGTATGGAAACAATGAAGACCTTAAAAAAAAAATAAAAAAAAAAAAAAAAGTACAGAGTACAAAACAGTCAAATCTGCCCATAATAGGGTAGTAAAGAATCCGGGAATAACAATGTCTGACGACTTAACGTTTAGTGAGTACTGGTATAACAAAGCAAATATAACGTCAACTAGAAAAATGTTAGAATGGATTACGAGAACCTTCAAATCCAGGGATCCCATTGCAATGCTCATGCTATTCAAATCACTGGTGCTCTCCCGCCTTGAGTACTGTTCGATACTCACGTCCCCTTACAGACACTGGAGCACTGTCCAAGGTACTAGGCATGTGAGCGAGGGGCCACCTAGACCAGTGATTAACCCGAGCAGTCACTTGGTAGCAGTCACTTGTTTGTGTATTAATGCGGCAAACTACCAATTGCTTTGTTTTCATTCTTATCAAGATTTGTTTGTTAGCTTTATTTGGCTTAGACTGTACAGTATTTTCTGACCCTTTTCTTATCTCTTTTGGGTCAATCTTTGATCCCCAAGCTTCCGTGGCCTTGCTGAATACACCAGATTCTGTTCCTGGTGTTCAGTAGGCCTGCCTAAGTGTGACTATGGTACCAGAACCGAACACACAGGAGCTACAGAGGCAGAACAGCTTAAAAATTATTAAATTCTTTCTTATATTTGAAGATAATTTGAAATTTTAAACTGTATTCTGTATAATACAATACAATACAGTGTACTTAGATATGGAGCATTCCGTTATTACTGTACCCACCTAATTATGAGAGCAGCAGCACATTCGATTTGAGGGAACATACTTTAACCATTCAAGATAGCCGAATACAACTTACCTTAAATATATTATTTATATTCAGTGACTGGAACTTCTTTGATTTCTCCCCCTTTGCTTGTGACCCGGACGATGCTGACATGCTGATCACAGACGCTCATTTAGATGCTGAGGAACCCGCGGAACGAACCACTAAGCTGAAAAGGAAAAGCAATAAGACTTTGAAATGTAGTAATCACTTAAGTTGAAAAGATTTCATAGAATATATATTTGCAATGGAAATTTAATAGAAAAAGCTAAATAAATCCAGTATCGAATGTAAGGAGCTACAGCTTTCTGATCTGTACCTTCTATGTGGTACATACACCACCTGGTCGACGACCGACCTGGTCGACCCATGGCCTGGTCGATGACCGGGCCGCGGAGACGCTAAGCCCAGGAAGCACCTCAAGGTAACCTCAAGGTACCCACCTAGATTCTGCTAAACCCAGGTAACACACCTGGCAATCAAACCACAAGCACCTACCCATGACCAGTACTGTACCATAATATGGTCTTATCAATAGAGGCAACAGGGGTCTGGGGTACTAAGCAACACAGTAACCAATGGGTAAAACCCAGCATTCAATGGAATAAAATGCCGATCTGGTTGGGCCTCGGTGGTTTCCTGAAGCTACTCACGCCGAGATGTGAATACACACATGAATAACATCAGCCTCAAGACCAGAGCCAGAACTTGCTCTGCTCAAAGGGGTTTTAAGGAGCAGGGGATTGTTATGATTACCGTACTCACCAAGAAAACATCCAAAAAAGTAGAGCAAAAACAGCTAGAAGGTTCACAGAAACAAAAAATTAACTAGCAAATGACTCAAACAATCTATCCAGTAGTTAGTTCAAACCCTCCTACTGTAGTTACAGCTGGCTACCACTAGTTGGCAGCACCCCAGGAGTTGCTGGTTCCCCGTGCCGACACCTCCAAAGTCCAGAGCCTAAAAGCACTAACCAATGCACCTGGTAGGGAAGGAAAAGAGGGGGCCTAAGGATCCCCCAACTAGAAAGAGGCATTTCATTACATTCAATCCTGGTTTTCCGGAGGGGCTGAATGGTGAATTTCTGAAGCTAACGATGAAGAAAACAGACTTATCAGGGGGAAGAGAAGAATATCAAATTAAAAAATTACCAGAACAGAAAACCAGACAGAGCAACACAAGCCCAACATGAACCAAGAACACTGACCAGGTATTAAGTTTCTAGAGAACATGGTTAGACCTCCAAAACACCAAAGCTCTGAAATCAGTCCAAGACAAATAACACTGCAGTCAGAGCCACAAGCTCTTGAACATCTGAGGCCTGAGAGTGGACGTTGACCCCGAATCAATGCAAGGTAACCGCAAGGTAGGTAAAGTAGGCACTATTTAGCATAAGTCTTTGTTGACAGACCTAAAATCTGACATCTGCTGTAGGTATATTATATTCTTGCAGGTACCTGACATTGAGCTACCATCCACAGAGAGCTATTATATCCTAATTTGCATCATGCATGTAAAACCCAGGCAACACTTGTTTAAATCGTCTTAAGGATAACCACATTACCCCCTGAACCAACATATGACTATAACCGCTCAAAGCTGTCTACCACATGGGACCAATGGGCACTTGCCCGGGTGCCCCACGAGCATAGGACATTTTCATTATGGAAGCAGAATGTTTAAATATTTAGGTCTTGTTACAAGCACACTTATATAACACTACATCCTGGCATGGGACTAAATATTTAAGATATATATTTCCAGGTGAAAAACCCTTTCAGCAGAAATGAAACAATGTTTTGAGTGGAGCACAGAAGAGGAAGAGAGCTGCAGAGGAGGAGGAGAAAATAGGAAACTTCCAAAATTAACATCGTGGCTCAACACAGGTGCAACGACCGCCACTCATACCATTCCTTCAGATATAGCATCCACTCCTGCAATGTCAGCCACTAGTACTGTTCCCTCAGATATAGGATCTACATCCATTCCTGCTACCAATCATCCAGTTTCTGCAGACATACCATCATTACCTGTGGCTGCTGCTGGTGACATTTTACAAGAGGAAATACCCAAATCTGTAACAGTAAAGGCGTGTGCAATCCAAGAGACAGATCCGGAGCCATGGAACATTAATGATACTAACACAATAGATTACTGGATTTGAAGAGGGGGCCCTTATGCCAATCATAATAGCAACCTTTCAAACTCACACAGAGTGAATAAAAACATCTGGAGTAGAGAATATGAAGGCAAGGTATTTATCATACAATGTGTTCAAACGTGAACTGCGGAATGGTGAGTACGTAAAACGTGAAAGGCTACTCTATTCATCATTCCAAGGTCATTTGTGCTGCTTTGTATGTCACCTATTGTCCAAGAAAATCTCCCTTTGCTACATTGGGATTCAATGACTGGAAGCACAGCAATGTTTTTGTAGAACATGAAAATGGAGAACATCGAAAGTGCACCACAGCTCATTTGACAAGGTATAAAGAACCTGGAAGTGGAATAAAGTGTTGACAGGTGTGGTTTCTTGTAATTTGCTTTCTTGCCTCTAGATATTTGCCATTTTACTGAGAAAATCAGATTATTGGGTCAGCAAAAAATGGCATCTATTTAGGTATACTAGAGCTGCTGAGTGAATTTGACTTTCTTGTAAGAACATCTCAAAATATATGGAAATCCTGAAAAAGGGTATCAGTCATATATCTGCAAATATTTGCAAGGAATTTATTGAATTAATGGGACAACTGGTTCTTTGTATACTATTCTTAAAGTCAATGATGTCTGGAGACAAACCACTCCAGACATCTCGCACACAGATCAACTGACATTTACCGTCTGATACATTACAGGCTGTGAGCCTGTGGAATGTTTCTTTATGTTCATCCCCATCTGCTCTCATGGAGCAAAGTACCTAACAGACACTGTTGTGGATTTTCTTAACGAGAACAAAATGCCATTATCAAACTGCCGTGGTCAGTCACACGATAATGCCTCAAATATGTCTGGACATATACTGGATTGCAAGCACGGATTCATCAATGGGGATCGAACCTCGGAAACTGAGGACTACGAACCACAAGCGCTGTCCACTCAGCTATCAGTAGGTATGTATGACACTTCATTATGCAAGACAACCAGTCATAGGAATATTATTTTAATACCTAACGCTAACTTTGCCTGAATGATTTATATACAGGTCCAGGGGAATTTGCATTATTTTTACACACATTCATGGGGGAACTGCCATCTGGATAGATATTAAATTTTGCAGTTGTATCCATCATGTAAGATCATGTAATAACATGGTTATAACAGTCTCCAGGTCCTATATACTACTAAAAAATGATGCAACCTAACTAAAGTAAACAAAGCGTAACTCATTCTATCCATTAGTAATAGATCATGTCTAATATTACGCATTTGCCCCAATTATAACAATATTAGACATTACATTCATACCAGGATATTTAAAACATGACACCAAGATCACCAATTAGTGAAAGCAGATACTTCACAGACAGGATATATCATATACAAAGAACATGTGAATTACTGTATTGCCTACCATGGGCATAAGCTAGGAGTCAAAATCCTGAATAATATGAATTTATGAACAAAAAAAAGGGTAGAAAATGAAAATGACTACAGTACTGTATAAACCAAATTATTAAAAGGCCAGACTATTCATGCAACACTGATACATCATGCAATGTTAAAATCATGATAAATTCTGAAAGCATTCAAAATTAATCAAATTCCTACTAAAGTTGACTTAAAATTAAAGCTCTACAAAAATATACATAACCTAACACACTGTATTTGTAAACTAAGTTAGCTCTACAAAATATACATTAACCTAATACTCTGTACTTGTGAACTAAGTTAGCTTACAAAAACACAACCTAATACTCTACTTGTAAACTAAGTTAGCTCTACAAAACACACATTAACCTAATACTCTACTTGTAAACTAAGTTAGCTCTACAAAACACGCATTAACCTAATACTCTACTTGTAAACCAAGTTAACTACAAAAACACACAACCTAATACTATACTTGTAAACTAAGTTGCCACTAAGATGATAATACAACTTGTGTATACCCATCAAGTTTAATACAGAAATGTATTGATACAAAAAACAAATACAATATGAAACTAAATTCAGAAATACTAAATTTTGGGTTTACTTGACGCCACAATCACTGCTCCCCCCCCCCCCGAGGCCAGTGGTATACACAAGTATATACACACATACGAGGTATATACACAAGTTTACTGTAAATTGTTTACCACAACTGTCACATCTGAGGTAAACCTCTATAGGTTTACCTCTATCCTGGGACCCAACCCTTTGCTATACAGTATACTGACGACCAGACACGTTTGGTATACTTGTAGACTATTGGCTGATAGATCAGGTATACTCAAGTGTATAGTATTAAAGGAGGGTGTAAACTGGGAGTCTACAACACTGCTCTACACACACACACACACACCTGCTGGCCTCGCCCACACCTGAAGCCCACACCTGCCGCCCTTCACGCCCCCGGGAAGTAAACCTGTGACTGTAGAGGCAAAAGTTTACAGGCGGCGGCCATATAAGCCTCGCCTAGTCTCTCCCGCCCTGGGTAACTACGCCATATTCTACCCTTGCCATCTTCCCCCCGCGCTCCCTAACCCTCAAGACAGTCCCCAAGACGTCAATATATGCCACTATCATCTCCTCCATTTCTTAACCCGCCCGTCGTCTGCTGTTATTATGAATAATTCCTCGTCATAACCGGCTCCCAGCTGGCCTTACCTGGGCTCGTTCCAATGACGGATGAATGAAAAATTAATCCTATCCTAATAATAGAAGTAAAGGGACGGATGGCGACAGAATTTCACGATATTTTCACTAACACTACGCTCGTCTGAGCGACTGTCAAAATGGCGACACTTTACCAAGCTTCTTGGGATCGATATGATGACGTCACGCTCCCACAATGCCCCGCGCCCTCTTCCTTCTCTTTTACTTTGGAGCATTTTATTTCCCTCCTGACTTTAAACTCCGTTTAATTCATTTCCTAGCCGCTAAAAGCGTTATCTTCTATATTTAGATGGAATAGTTGTTGCTACAGTGGTAAACTAAAGCATATAAATTGATGTATAATTTAGTTGTGGTCAAGTCACTGATGAGGGAAATCAGAAGTAGTCTGCTAGCCTGAGGTTGGCGGGATATTCAAGACAGTTTGAGAACGATCTCCAACTCTAATATTACCTCGTAAACTCACAATATTGAATGATTTTCTGATATCAATATATCGACGATGTAATAACGCTCTGGGAAACATAATGTACTTACTTTCCAGTGTCAGCAAACACAGTCTCTCTGATTAAATCCCTAAACATGCTAAACATACACTCATTCCACACCTTCTCTTGTGCTGTTTACATGTGCTAAACCTTCTTCCTAAATGTTAATCCTGATCTGAAACTCTTCCCTGATAGGTGTAATACAACCCATGAGCCTTACACCAGAAATAAATATCCCTTTGATATCTCTAGATCAAATTATTAAATTAATCTGTGTAAACACTCTATGCCAATAAAAGGATCCAGTCTCTGCAACTCACTCCCTAATGAATTACAACATTTCCAACCTATGCTTTATTCAAAAATAAAATAAAAAAGTACCTAATTTCATCCTCATAGTTTCCTACCTTGTGCTTCAAAGTCATACTGCATATCATGCTACCCATTCCCCCAATATTAGTACTTAAAACATGTAACTTCGCCAGTGTAAGAATTTCCGTCAATTTATATTGTAATTATTATATTGAACTCAAATTTTGCTATAATGTACAAAATAATACAATGTATAAAATATGAATAGGTACATTGCGAAGCCTCGTAATGTACCTATTCATCTTACCTTATCTGTTAGATTAAGGACCTGCCCGAAACGCTATGCGTGTTAGTGGCTTTACAAATGTAAAAACACCAATGTCATGTACTCCCACAAACCCTATGTACCTACTTGTATATAAATAAATAAATAATAAATATAATAAATAACTGTCTGGATAGACTAGAGAAAATATACTGTATTACCATTTATCCAAACCTTTTTTAGCCTTAATTTCAAGCAGTTTTAGCCTTTAGTTTCAAGCAGCGGCTTGAAACCATTGCTCCTTTTTTGTGTTACATCTGACTTTCTTTAACAGATGGTCAGACATCTGACATCTTTCTTGATCAACATCTTCCAAATTCTTCAGTATTTTGAACGTTTCGATGAGATGAACTCTATCATGTGTGATTTGCAGTGTTGTTAGCCCTGTGGCCCTCAACCTGTCCTTGTATGAGAGATGACTTAGTTATGGAATGATTTTTGTTGCCCGGTGTTGAATTTTCTACAGTGAAGTTATGTCTTTCTGAAGATGAGGTCTCCATGCCTGGATGCAATAATCTAGGTGGGGACGCACCAGAGATTTATACAATTGAATAACTATCTACTTTTCCTTAAAATCAAACGTACGCTTCATTATTCCTAAGTACACACAGAAATCACAATAGCGTGATATATCAAATGAATAAATCCACAAGGGCCGTGACGAGGGTTCGAACCGACGCCCGGGGTGATCCCAAGCGCACCTTAGTCGACGAATTCAACCCCTCGTCACAGCCCTTGTGGATTTGTTCATTATTCCTAAGGTTTGGTGCAGCCCGTCCTCCAAACAAAGACCTAAAAGTGATTCCACCCACCCGCCAAACCCCCAGCTGTTTATGAATGAAAAACAGTTTACACACGACTCACAACTGATGACGTTCGAACACTTCCGGAACAAGTGCTTCACTGACGACTTCTGTTCGAACCACAACGCTGTAAATGCTTCACCCACGTACTACAAATACAAATAATCGCCAACAGAACCTAAACACCTAACCTAACCTATGCTTACATATGCATAATATGCTAATATATTATAATATTAATTTATATTTGAAAAAAAATCCTGCTTTGAATGCACAGCATGTAAAAATTGATGAATGCGTCTGCGGGGTCGACCGCTGGATGGAATGGACTTGAGTCGAGGACAGGTTGTATGGTGAGCTTTTAACAGCCACTCCCACTTGTGCAACTTTCAGTGAATGATGGATTCTGATTCCAAGGTCTTTTTCTTCATCACTCAGCTAGAAGGTAATGCTGTTAATTTCGTATAGACTCCATGCTGGAGTCCATACCCGGAGTGCTCCAGGATTGGTCTGACATGTGGTATACAAGGTTCTAAGTGATTCCTTATACAAATTTCTAAAGGCAGTTCTGATGTTAGCCAGTCAGGGGATGTGTAATAAAAAGGAGACCTGGTCGAGGACCGGGCCGCGGGGACACTAAGCCCCGAAATCATCTTAAGATAACCTCAAGAAGCCTCGCAAACGCCTGCTAATAATATCCTTTTGATGTGGCTTCAGAAGACAGGTTTGGTGTGATATCAACTCCTAGATCCTTCTCCCTGTCCGTTTCATGGAGGACTTCGTCTCCCATTCTGTACCTTGTGTCTGGCCTCCTGTTCCTTCTACCTAGCTTCATTACTTTACATTCACTTGAGTTAAACTTTAGTAGCCATTTGCTGGACCACCTTTTCAGTCTGTCTAGGTCATCTTGTAGCCTCTTGCTATCTTCCTATTTCTAACTCGCCTTATAATTTTTGTATCATCAACAACAATGAGAGGAACGAGTCTACTCCCTCTGGAAGATCGTTTACATATATCAGAAACAGGACAGGACCAAGGACTGAACCCTGTGGGACTCCACTAGTGACATCTCGCTACTCTGAGACCTCATCCCTCGCAGTGACTCCCTACCTGCCGTAGCTTAGGTACTCCCTCATCTAGTGGAGTACCTTCCCTGTTATTCCTGCCTGCATCTCCAACTTACGTATTAGTCTACAATGGGGCACTATGTCATAATTAGTAATATAATTCATAATTAAATACTATTCGAGGGCTCCCTTGCTTGCCTATTTAAGGCTAGTTAATTTAACTTCTAGAGATTATTGAAGTGTTATGGAGCCGGTGGCTGAGCGGACAGATCACTGGGCGTGTGATCCTGTGGTCCCGGGTTCGATCCCGGGCGCCGGCGAGAAACAATGGGCAGAGTTTCTTTCACCCTGATGTCCCTGTTACCTAGCAGTAAATAGGTACCTGGGAGTTAGTCAGCTGTCTCGGGCTGCTTCCTGGGGTGGACGCCTGGTCGAGGACCGGGCCGCGGGGACACTAAACCCTGAAATCATCTCAAGATAACCTCAAAATATGGATTATTATTTATTGTTTATAGTAAAATCTATTTCACCCAATACACTGAAGCCATTATCTGCCTCTGTAACCCTTTCCACTCCCGCCCATGCGAGGCTTATTGGGGAGGGGCCCCCATAATATATTAAAAATATCACCAGATATCCTCATTATAATATCATTACTCTATCACCAAGTAAATTCAGGGAGGTTATTGCCACCTACTTCTTTAATAAATCCACAGGATTTAATAAATCCTTTAATAAACCCCACGTAAAATTTCTGCGCACATCCATACAACAGTAGCACAGAGTACGGTACACCCTTCATCAGTCATGGAAACCAAAACACGTACAACAGTAGCACAGAGTACGGTACGCCCTACATCAGTCATGGAAACCAAAACACGTACAACAGTAGCACAGAGTACGGTACACCCTACATCAGTCATGGAAACCAAAACACGTACAACAGTAGCACAGAGTACGGTACACCCTTCATCAGTCATGGAAACCAAAACACGTATAACAGTAGCACAGAGTACGGTACATCCCACATCAGTCATGGAAACCAAAACAAACACGACCCAGGTGACATATTTAGTGAGTGAACTATAAATTAACTTTAATTCGGCAACGAGTCGCCAAAGTCACGTTATCTAATCAGCAGACTCAGCGACCCTCTCCACTACGCACCTCACCCCAGGTCAGCTGCGTATCACCTCACGTGTTTTCAAATTCAAATTTGAATTCAGATGAATGTGTTTATAACGTATTTCTTTCATCCACTTTATTTATAAAACACTTTACTTTCGTTGTTTCACCATTTATAACACCACCCACCTGGCTATCACCACTGATTACCACCACCAAGACTATAAACTATGACTGAAGTTAAAAAGTTAACTTAAAACTACTTAATGCTCACAGAAATCACAATAGCGTGATGCATCAAATGAACAAATCCACAAGGGCCGTGACCAGCTTCTTTAACCATGTCGTAGCTCAGTCGATTAAGGCAGCGTCTGGGATCCTCTCGGACGTAGGTTCGAACCCTCGTCACGGCCCTTGTGTATTTGTTTACTTAATGCTGCCATCACCTTCGCCTTTGATGAAAATTAGTACTTTACAGTGACCGACGGTGAAGGGTACCGGCCACGGGAGGGTTGGAGATGTTAATTACTCTAGGAGGTGGTTGGCACCATACCCGCACAGTCACCTACTGTGACCTATTCCGGAACATCAACATTGGCACAAGGGGGGGGGGGACACAGTCGACTCTCACTATTCACTGGCATCCAAGTTATTATAATACACTTTTTGATAATTACGGGCGAGAGGAAGACATGGACACTGCTTGGAAAGAAAGCGTCTTGGCCAGATTTACGGAGCAGTTACGCAAGTACTTACGAACGTGTACATTTTCCCCAATCTTTGACGGTCTTGGTTACATTTATTAAACAATATACAAGCATGAAAACTTGTCAATCAACTGTTGTCATTGTTATAAACAGCCTCCTGGTGCTTCGGAGTTCATTAACTGTTTAATAATTGTAAACAAAGCCGCCAAAGATTGAGAAAAGATGAACAGGTTGGTATGTGCTAGCGTAACTGCTTCGTGAATCTGGCCCCAATACTTACGATACAGCGACCCTTTATCCACACTATTGATCTTTCTGTTGTTGC